TGCTAATTTATTTTTTCTTTTCTTTTTTAAGGGATGGCTTATCACGGGTCAAAAGTGGCATGTGACATGACCTACCCAGTGTGGTTAGTGAGCCACATGGTCTGGCTTGGGCTTCGGCCAAGCCTTGAGTTGGGTTGATTGGGGATTTTCTTGGACTGAGCCACGGGTGGCTTGAGGCCACAAGTCAAATTGACACCCTAAAACCACCCCAACCGTTCTATTCACTCTCTTTGTTCGATCACCGAAACAACAATTGCAACCACGTGTAAGGGCACCTGATATGATTGTCCCTGTGTACAATGCTTACAATGGCTCGGAGATATTGCAGCGGCGTAGAAGTATTACGCTGCACAAGACCTATGCCTCGATCTATTTAGTGTTAAGGCAATGTTGATCAGCGATGTCAGATCTATTGGTTAACCATCGATAGTTTAAGGTTTATCTGTAATTTGTAGGTTGTAGTTTGTTGCTGAGCGTCAACAAATTTTTCGGTTTGTCTATATTTTATGGATTGTGGTTTGTGGTTGAGCATTGGTGATGTCAGATCTATTGATTGAGCGTCGACAATGTTTGTAGTTTGTGGTTTATGGTGATGAGCGTCACTGCTGGGGTTTATCTTCCTCATCTGGTCTGTTTAGCAGGAGTTTTAGGGTTGGGTGCTTATTGCTGACAATCGTTGGTTATTGATGGTTTGCAAATGGTGGTGGTGGTGCTAGTGAGATCTGTTGGCGGTGGTGGTACTGGTTAGAAGTGATGTTGGTGGCAGTGAGGTGACACAGAATTAGGTTAGTGTCAGTGGATTGGGGTGAGGTAGGATGGATAATGCGTGTTCGTAACTAATTATTTAACCAATAAATAATATGTGACCGGTAAAATAGATACTTTATAACCAATAAATAATATGTGACCTTAAAATAGATAATTTGTAACCAATAAATAATATGTGACCTTAAAAAATGTGAAATCACGACTACATTTGTAATCATGACTTACAATTTGTTCACAAATCATAGGTCATTGTGCATAAATCATATATGGATGTCCACATCTTACAATCAAATAGAAATGATCACAAATCCCTGATTTATGTTCATATGTCACACTTCATAGGTCATAGGTCTAAAGTCATATTCTATAAGTCACATATCAATGTTAATATATCACAGATCAAAATTAATTGACTACAAACCAAGGTCACATGTCTTTGTGCACTGATATCAAGGTTATAGATCCAAGAAAATAAATCACAATTCATATGTTACAAGTCATAGGTAAACAATTCGCTGGTCACATGTAATATTACAATGGTAACAGATCGATGCTACATGTCACAAATCCAAAAAAACTAGTCATAGGCCATTGGATCAATATCATAGGTTATAGTTTACAAGTCACAGGTCATGTGTAATAGTTCACATATCGCATGTCATATTACAAATGTCACAAGTCATATATACAAGAGAACTGGTCATAGACCATTAGATCAATATCACATGTACCAGTTTACAAGTAAGAGGTTATATGTAAAATTCACAGGTCAGATGTCATAGTGCATAGGTCACGGATCCATATCAACAGGTTACATATCGTATAGAATTAGTCACAGGCCATTAGATCAATACCATATATAACAATGAATCATTTCAATTTTCATCACAGTAGCTCACAGTTTACTGACCAATTGATCTTTTCAATATCACAGTTTACAAGCCAATTGATCTTTTCAATTTTTGTCACAGCAACTAAAAATTGGAGCTTCAACACTATTTCATCAATTCAAAAATAGGAAGATCTAGCAACAATAAAATATTGCCCGCCACCAATTGTGACATTGAAACAGTTCAAACCTATTTCGGGATGATCGCCAAGCTCAATTCGCTACTTCTATTATCACCTCATTTTGTTATTGTTTCTTCAAAAAATCTGCTGTATAGTGTCAATAAATTTCAATTTGTGACCTCTATATTTTAACGATTTTCAATTGGCTAGAGTTTGATAATGGAAAATGGGAATTGAGATTATTTGCTCAAGAGAGTTCTCCGTATCTTTTCTCTTTTGTTCGATAATCATAATTTGTTAAATTGGAAAGTACTGTTTGGAATTGAGACATATCGTAACTAAATGCTTGATTTCAGGTGAATATTTATTAGAATCTAATTTTTACATATATTTTATATAAAATATATTATATTTAGTACTTATCACCTGATTTTTGAATGTTTAAAGCTTGTTTCTTAAAATTGAAATGGTGTATAGTGAACATGTTATTTATGTATTGTTTCCCCAAAAAAAAAAAATTACAAAAATATGGGCCGTGTTCCATTCAGTCGATACATCGTTTCTTTCATCTATATTTATTTTGCACAGAATATATATGAAAAATATACTATATGTATCTCAAATAGCTCCACATGTCAACAACACTTTATGGTTGTAGGGGTTCAAGATTTATCGGATTCACATCCAATGAACCATTTAAAGTGTTGTCACTTCGACCTAGTCGATCTTTATGTTGGCTTCTCTTGTTATAGTTTTAATAACAACTTGTCTAAGAAAATGCAAATTGGTTCACAAAATTCTTTTAGAAAATCAGTTTAGATATTCTCCCATTGTGAACAATTTCTTTCCTGCCACGCATGATATCTTTTGTTTTAATTTCATTATGTGTGAAGAACCATCTAGCATGATTATTCTCAAATATAATAAATAATCAAAAAGTCTAATGATTTACAAGAAAGTTAATTATTGGGAGCCAATATTATTGAGGAAAGTTGCATCATATTAAGTTAAAGGCGTCTTTACTTCCAAAGAATGCTTTTGATTTTTTAATTATGAAGATTTTGTCCCTTTATTCAGACAAAGAGGATAAAGTTTGTCCTCTTGTTACATTCTTACCACAATTTAAAAAATTCTAGTAAATATTATAAGATGCTCATTTAAATATGATTTAGCCTACCAAAGTTCTATTCAAGACCTAACAAATCCCATTATCTTAATAAAATTAAAGTTAATCAATCATAGATTCTACAAAACCTAAGTTGTTATTGATGAAATGGGACCAGGGTATTTGTTCCTATTTAAATTCATTTGTATTGGAAAATCGACACAATCAAATTGTACTAAAGCGCCAAAAGTTAGGACAATAATATGATATTCTATATTATCGTCACTTACAATTAATAGATAGTGCTGTTAGCGTCGACTAAAGGGGACAAACTTTCTTTAAATCTTTAAATTTATTCAAATCTAATAAATTTATTTTTGTTGGGCGTATAAATATATTATGTTAATATAAACGTTAGTCTAAAAAGTAAAATGCATGATTCTAAGAAGGAAATAATAATTTTATAAAATATAACCAAGAAATTATGCCCTTGTATTTATCTAATAGATTATATGAAACATGTAACTATAATTTTACTGCAATCGTAGTGCAATCATATAAACTTTTGCTAATTTCAGTTTCCATCTCATTCGACTAAAGGGGTGAAATAGATCGAACATTCTATACAAAGACGAGGTCTGGCCAAAAAAGTTTTCTAGTAACAAACTTGACGAACGAAACCTGTCTCATCTCTACAATTCCAACTTAACATCCTCTCTAAAGAGTGGATTGTAGCATGACTCTGTCTTTAGTTTCAGTTAGGATAATTATAGTGTCTGTCCAAGAAAATGCATATTATTATTGTTCAGTGTAAGAAAATGTATCTCAAACTTTCTTGGATCGAATCAGATACAATTATATAGTTATAAAAATTTAGAAGTCAGGCAATTTGACCACATTTAATGTGGGTGGAAAAGTAAGAGTCACTCACTAAAGGAGAGGTATAAAGTTGCCACTCTCCCAAGAGAAGTGTGATCTCCACCATATTATTAACAGACTGTGCTCTTCGAATTCTAAATTTACAGTTTTGATTCATAAATTTACTTAAAAGTTAGATTCAAACCAAGCTTTCTAACCACGTGAGATTCGCAAAATTATTGGTAGCATCTGTGTCTATCGTAGCCATGCTTCACCTGACATCGATCTTCACCAACACATACACATTAACACCACTGCTTGTAGTTTTTATAAAAGACGAGGCTTAATTAATGAAATAGATGTTATTTTGTAATTTTTATAAGAAAAGAAAGAGCATGTTTGTCAATAATCTCAAAATTTTAAGTCGTGGATGTATGATTTTTGAGGTGAAAATAATTTCACTTACTCTAATGATAACTAAGTCAAAATAATACTTCATGTAACTAAACTGATTTCAACATTATCATTATAGAGATGTATTTATGTTTAGAAAAAATTACTAAAAATGTTTATTCAATTTATGGCAAAGGTAAGATAACAAAATTGATAATGATCTACCAAGATCAAAAGAATAATGTTATTTAGCACCGTTTATTTTTAAATATCAATTTACGTGATATTAATGTGCCACTAAATGAGAGATTTTGGTGCTCAATAGTATTATTCAAATCAAAAGGTATAACAGATTCCCGATATTTCATATGAGACGAGCATAATGGCTAGTCAATAATCAATTGGCCAGCCCCCAGGGCATATCTCCCAGTGGCAAAGGGGAGGGCGGATAGGGCTCAGCGCGGCAGTGTGCAGAGTTCGATTCCCCGCAAGGTGGAATTGACTTTGTTGCAAGCGGGAGTTACCATATGGGTTAACAGCCTTGGCCTATCCATGTGCTCTCCACCCTGACTCCTGGGAGGCACATCCTGCGATTTACCTCCTCCACGATGGCCCAGAGCAGGGTCCGTGGAGGCCCTTAAGGTTGGGGTTCAACCTTTTTTTAATAATCAATTGGCCATTTTTAAAATTTTAAAATTGTACCATTTTACCATATTAATTGTGGTGGTAAAAGTAACATTTACACACCATAGAGAAAGTAAAAAGTTGCCACCTCTCTCAAAAGATCAGTACCAGAAAATGTACAGAAACCAATATCTTTGTCGTGCTCAATTTCCTCATTATCTTCCTCTCTCCACATCGCTTTCCTTTCTCTCCCTACAAATATTTTCCGTTTTGATTCATGTGTCCTTCACAGTTTCCTCTGTTACTTGTCGAATCCCCTATTAATCTCATGTCTTAGTCGCTGCCAGTAGCAAAAGTTGCCTGTATAGTATATATATAATATACTCCACCCCACTCCACGCCTCCCCACCCTACTCCTATCCTTCCCTCACCAGGCCCTATATATACACTCATATTGTATCTGACACCCTTCCTAACATTCAATACCCCTTCTACTTGGTCATCAATAATCAAGAAAGTTTGAAAGAAATATGAATGGTAGAAAATTATTTCCATCAATGCTCTTATTTTTCCTATATAAGTTTCTGGAAAATAAGTAACTTATTTGGTATTTTTCTTGTTTAGCAGATTATTATATTCAATTCCAGTAGCCCTTTTCAGTTCAGGTTTTCCCAGCTTCATTAATGGCTGAACAAAGTCCAGATTTTTACTCTCACAAACTCCCCTCCTCTTCTCAGGTAATACCTCCATTTTTGTAAGAATATCTATATCTGTATTATTTATTCAGCTTTTGGATGTTATATATTTCTTAGTTTGTGTTTTAAAAGATATTATGTATATTTTTTCGTATCTATACAGAAACAGACATAGTAAGGTATTAGACACAAATGGACATGTAATAGTTTTTGGAGAGACATTGGATAGCATTGGGAAAAGAACTTAGAATCTTGTTCATTATAGTGTGTGGTTAGTCGAGTAGAATTACCAAAATATTGCAAGGGTTACGGATAGCACCTAACAGTATTAAGGAATTAAAGTAAGTTAGAATCTAATTTATTTACCTTCTACTTCTAATGATATCCTAATGCTGCATACCTAACTATCTTCTACAAACTTCAGTTTAAATAAACTGCAAAGTTTTGAAAGAACTCATTGTCATAAATCTATCTGGTTTAGAAGGGAAGAACTTCCATTTGCATCTCAGTTTCAATTCAAACGCCATGTTCTAATGTTTTGTGTGTTTTCCGAAAAGGTGGTGGAGGAGCTGAAGGAACTATGGTCAATGGCACTGCCAATAACAGCAATGAATTGTTTAGTCTATATCCGAGCCGTGGTTTCTGTCTTGTTCTTGGGTCGGCTTGGGAGCCTCGAGCTAGCCGGAGGTGCCCTCTCCATTGGCTTCACAAACATCACTGGCTATTCTGTTTTAGTAGGCTTGGCTTCTGGGCTTGAGCCAGTTTGTAGCCAAGCTTATGGTAGCAAAAACTGGGATCTTCTGTTCGTCTCTCTCCACCGTATGATCTTAATACTTTTCTTGGCTATTATTCCAATCAGTTTTCTTTGGATCAATCTTGAATCAATCATGATTTTCATGGGACAAGACAAAGACATTACCTTAATGGCTGCTAAGTATTGTATCTATTCCCTGCCTGACCTGTTGACCAACACTTTGTTACAACCTTTGAGGGTTTATTTAAGGTCACAAGGGGTTACTAAACCTCAAATGTGGTGTACCTTTATGGCTGTGATATTCCACGTGCCATTGAATTATTTTCTTGTGGTGATTATGGGTTTGGGGGTTCCTGGGGTGGCGATGGCTTCAGTGTTGACGAACCTGCACATGATGCTGCTGATGATGGGGTACGTGTACTTCTATGGGAGGTGGGAATGGAAACTGAAGGCAGGGATTGGTGGTGTATGTGGTGGTGTGGGGCCGTTGCTTAAGTTGGCTGTGCCTAGTTGTATTGGAATTTGTTTAGAGTGGTGGTGGTATGAGATTGTGACGGTTTTGGCCGGCTATTTGCCTAATCCTCGACTCGCGGTGGCTGCCACCGGGATACTCATCCAGACCACTAGCCTTATGTACACCGTGCCAATGGCCCTGGCTGGCTGCGTCTCAGCGAGGGTAAGTTGTTACTTGTATCTTGGACATAATTCTATAATCGGTCTATCATTTACTCTACAGAACAGATTTGCTCTACTTTTTTCAACTAGTTTTTTATGTTTCATGTCCTTTTGGGGGCAATTTGTCCAACATTCAGTAAATTTAAACAAATATATTTGACATTGCTGCATCCCTTGGCTTCTCATTATTCTTTTGTTCACTGGAAGTGTTCGAATTATGCTTGTTTAGCCCTTAGTGATTAGAGTAACACTAACACATAGGTTATTATCAATCTTACTACTCTGTTAAGTAGAAAACAGGGATGTTCCGATCCTTTGTTTTCCTTTTAACTGATGTCACACAGTAATGTGGTTGGATAAATTTTCTATGGGACAAGTTTTGAATTATCATGCTGCCTTTATTATTCTTTTGTGGCTTAATTTCTATGCCAATTCGTCATAAATGACACGATCATTTAACTAAGCAAAAAGGGATCACCTTTACATAACATTCTTCTGCTTTTTTTTATGATGCATCAAGGAACTTTCGTTCTAATTTCATCATCTAGGTTTGTAGTTCAAGGAAGCATCATTATGTTTTCTTTGTGCATCATATTCCTGATCCTGGAGATTAGTGGACTTTGTATGATTCTTTCCTAGAGGAGGGTTAATTCTTAGTTAATGCTAATTTGATTGAAATTCACAAATTGATTCTCTATGCAGGTGGGAAATGAGTTCGGAGCTGGGAAGCCGTACAAAGCGAAGCTGGCTGCAATGGTTGCACTGGCATGTGCACTTGTGATTGGAATTGTCAATGTTATTTGGACATCGATATTTCGGAAAAGTTGGGGTGGCCTATTCACCAAGGAAGAAAAGCTCAAATCTCTTGTAGCATCCGTTTTGCCAATCATTGGCTTATGCGAGCTCGGGAACTGTCCACAAACCACCGGCTGTGGCATTCTACGTGGCGCAGCCAGGCCAGTTGTTGGAGCCCGTATCAATCTTGGCTCGTTTTACTTTGTGGGCACTCCCATAGCTGTGGGGCTGGCCTTCTGGCTCAAGGTCGGCTTCAGAGGGTTATGGTTCGGGCTCCTGTCAGCTCAAGCGGCCTGCGCCATTTCAATTCTCTATGTCATATTCAAGTGCATAGATTGGGAAGTGGAAACTTTGAAAGCATCTAAGCTAACTAGCTTGGAAATAAGCAACAAAAGTAGTGATGAGGAGAAAAAAGGACTGTTAGTTTTAGAAAATGAAAACATTGATAATGCTCTCTAAGGCATTGTCAATGCTCTCTAAGGCATTGTCTGCCCTATGGGGTGGATGGGGGGTGGGCTGTAAAGTTTTGGTTTGAAAGCATGGGGTTCTGTGGTGAAAGCACTTCTTTTATGACAGGCAAAGAATGTGATGGTGTCCCATCCAGGTGTTCTATAACTTGAGGCTAGACATTTATTTTTGTTTTATCCATATGTAGGATATGCTTTAGTACTGTTAAACCTTGAACTTTTGTGACAGCATTGTCTTTGTTCTTAGTGCTACATGTGCACTAACTTGGATTCCACTTGGTGCAAAAGTATGCTTCGCTTCTTATGGCTGTAAAAAAAACACTAAAAGTTCGGCGAAAACGTCACACTACACTACATGGGATGAATACAGATTTCGATCTATCAGTGGATAGCTCTCTATGCTAAACGCAAATCCGAGTAAGTTTGGTTGAAAACAAGATAAATGTGACTTTTATTTAACAACTTCAATTTATAGATGACATGACATGACATGACATGACTCAATATAGTATCAGAAACAATGGAAATCTTGCTATTAAAGTCTTGATGTCATCTGCTAATAAAAACTGCATGTATGTGAGAAATTAATGGAAAACGAATTCGATCTATATGTGATGAATGTGTCAAAAATAAATAAATGAATACTTATATCTCATTTAGTTGTTGTATGCGATGTTTTACTTTAACATAACCGACAAGCTAGAATTTTCAATATTTTAGTAGCTAAAATAACGCTCTAAAAAGCGTATCTAGATGGTCCCTAGGCATGAGACTCGGACGAAACACCACCTCTTGACAGTAAGCAAGAAATTAAACAGTCAACTATCTAGTTGATCACTTAAAGCTAGTCGCACCTGGTGCGCTCTATTAATTAATTAATTTTTTTTCCTCTTTTTTTTTTAAAGCTTTTTATTAGATTTAGTTTCAAGTTTTTCCTTTGAAAAATTATATAATTGACTAACTATAGAAATTATTAAACAAGTATTGTATTTTATAATTTTAGATATTTAGTCCTTGTTTGAGCCCTATTTTTCCATCAAAAATCATTCTTTAACAGTGATTTGACTGCACTTCAGCCATATATTCTTCAATAAAATAATATTACACACAAATTTAAAACTTTTCTTTGTTTTTTAACCATATATTTTTATCAATGTACTATTCAAAAATGCATTTTTTGGACAAGAATGAGGCTCAAACAAGGGCTTAGTATTTTTTTTTTATTAAATGAATTTAGAATGATTATAGAATATTTTATTTATTAAATGAATTTAGAATGATTAAAATTTAAAATAATATTAAAAAAATAAGAAATTGGTTTTTTATGCCTAAACTTGCCTAGTTGAAACATGACCTTCACATCTAACTACGTTTTACAATTTTTAGAACAATGTTTAAAAGGTACACAAATAAAATAGATAGATACAAGATATAATAGAATTGTAGCGTCCAAGTATCTAAAAGATAAAATTATTGATTTTTTGCAATAATTTGCTTTCTTGAAACTTCTTAATTCTTAGAAGTGGGAAATGTAGAGGTGCTTATCTACGAGGCAACTACCTTGTTTTTGTGCTGAGAAGTGAGGTTATTCAAAAGAAAAGTGCCATGTTTTAGGACAAAAACAGTCGATGGGGATGGTTACAAGATTTGAAGTCATTTTCAATGTCTTCAACCAAATTTTCAAGAAATAGGGAAGTTATTGTCGGTGAAAACTAAGAAAGAGAGTGAAGAAGATAATTTATATGGTGTTACTTAAGTCCCTTTTTCATACAAAAATTACTTATATCATTAAAAAATAATAATTCTTATTTGCACCAATTAAGATTGTGAAATCGATAATGAAATCCATCTGTTTAAATATCGTTACCCCTTAATTGAAATAGAAAATTTCAAAAGAATTAGATTAGAAAAAATTTCTAACAAATACACGATGGTGTTGCAATAACAATAACCAAAATTTCCCATTTTCAGGGGAATGTGATTCTAACAAAGCTGTAAGTCAAAGAAAAATACTAACACAAAAGGATGTGGGTGGAATAGCATCAAACTAACACCATTTTACTATTATGTAAGCATATGGAACAAACTTTTCCTTGGGATCTCAGTGGAAACAGCCAAACTGAGCCATCAATGGCTTCTACTTTTTCTGTTAGATGGATTCTCCCTCTGTCTTGATTTGAATTATTAATTTGATTCTCNCAAACTGAGCCATCAATGGCTTCTACTTTTTCTGTTAGATGGATTCTCCCTCTGTCTTGATTTGAATTATTAATTTGATTCTCGTCATTTAAATTATCTTCGCGTGCGAAATCTCGTTCAATATTTGATTTCAGTACGCAATATTATGCTGTCTTCACACATGTTTAGCTCTTCACACATATTTCACTCATGTTTATAAACTGTTTATAACCACACAATTAACTTTTTCTTTGTACATTTCGAAAAATTCTCAAGTACTACTTAATTATATACCACTAATTTTTATCTAATTAATTAAATCGTTAGGATTTCAATGGAAGCAGACAATTTAAGTCATCAATGGCTTTTGATCTGTATTTTATTGTGGGATTTATTTTGGTTCCATATGTTCCCTTTAAAAGGGACTTTGGCTTTACAAGGCACAATGTAGAACGGGTATTGGGCATTGAGGATATGCCAAAACAAAGAAGAAAACATAAAAGAGAATATATATATAGATAAAGTAAGGTTTCATGCTTCAACTTTATTAATGTGCTTGGTACCTTCAACAATTTGTTAGTGTTGGTACATTTCACAAGTTTACGTTGTCGAGAAGACGCGATCTCGGAGAATATATTCTGAGTATATGTAACAATAGACTAAATAAATAGTATTGACAACAAAAAAACCTTTATTTATTTATTTATTTATTTTCCCGTTCATCTACTATCATTTTTATCTTTAGATGGCTTGATCGCCGTCCCTTGTCTTAATTTGAATGTAGTTGAATCTCATCGGTTATATTAAGCCACTGTTTAGTGAGAATTAAAATCAGTTTTTTTAGTAAATTTTAATAAAAATTGATAAAATATGTGACTGAAAAATTGTGGGTCTCATAAAATGTATGGTTAAAATTAGTTGTTGACTTTGACTTAAATAAAAATCCGAATTTTAATTTCTACCAAACATGGACTAATTTTCTATTCCTTCTTAAGGAATATAATTATGAAAGTGTTATTCAGTTTGTGAAAGTGAACTGAACTCGTGAGCAGCGTTTGACTTGGTACCCACGATTACACAATGACGAAGTTAGAATTTCAAATTAGGGCAGACTGAAAATTTTTGGACTGGCCCTTAATCGACATTCTTCACTTGAGTTTAAGTATTCATTTCTTATAAAAAGGAAAAGCTTATTATATTCATGGCTAAAATTTATTGGAAATAATGTTTAATTTATCGATGTTTATATTGGGTATTACCACCACAAATTTTATTAAGTGCACCACAATTTTCTTATTTATTAAAATATACTTAAATAAGATTACATAATTAGGATTTTATTATACTTTTTAATTAAATAACTTATTATTACACTACAAGTATAAAACCTAATTTTCTTTTTTCTTTTTCCTCAATATCTCATTGTTCATAGTTTTTCAGGCGGCTTTTACCTTCTTACATGACAGTAAGAAATGAATTTATGCTCTATTTGATCATGATTTACAGATGAATTTTTTCAATTTATTTGTCAAGTTTGAAAATTAAGAATCTATTTTTTTTTAAGTCGATCAGATTTATTATGCATTTAAAACAAGTATGTAAGATTATGATTTTTAAGTGTTAAGCGGTTCCTAAATTTACGCTTATATACTCATCATAATTCCATGAATTGCGTGCATTCATTACATGAGACACACCTATGGACTCATATGTACTGTACCATTTATTACCATGAATTTGAGTGTACATAGGTAAATGAACTTGTGTATATGTAGGGTCTGTGAGTTTTCGTGGATTTTTGTGTATGTAGGTCTATCAATGTCTGTGAATTTGTGTATATGTAGGTATATGAATTTCTGTGCATGAATTATCTTTTGTCAACATTATTGTTGAGTAAACTTGTTTTCTAACTGAATTATGATATTTAGTTTAATGCAAATGAATGTAGCTATTGACACTACAATTTCATTTGAATTCTTGAAAGTTGTTCTTAATCAATAAGAAGTTTTTATTGTTAAATTATGCTTTTTGCATGACTATAATAAATTTAATTTTTTATAACTTATCATAATTTTATTTTCTTTGTTCTAAATGTCAAGATAATGATGACGACTTCAATATATACGATTATACGCAATACTTTACTACTAACCAAGTACGAATAAATCAAATATTAAATTTAAATCTATGAATTCTACTCTTGGTGCAATTTTTCTAATTATAGTTTTTAAATATTGATTGTGTAGTATTCCATAGTGGAGAGTCATTATGTAATTGGGTTTGTATGGTTGGGAAGGAACTTGGTTTGGTTATGTTATAATATATTCTAAGTGTGGTGATTATGGATGCAAGCCTCGCTTATGCTATTAGTGAAAAATATGAAAAACATAAAAATCATTTAGATCGTGAACTAAATTGAAAGAGGTCTATTGGAACACATAAGTATGAATGTCCTTTTCATCTAAATGGTGTGAACTTGTCGATTGAGGACTATTGGATGTTAAAGGTATCGTGTGGACTACATAATCATCCAACGGCACAACATTTGGAAGGACATCCTTATGTACGAAGATTAACTAATGAATGGGAGCAAATTTTAATAGATGTGTCAAAAAGTTTGGTAAAACCTAGGAAAATATTAATGTCTTTGAAAGAACGGGATTCAAATAATGTTAGTACAATGAGGACTATTTACAATGCACGTACAAGATATAGATTGATTGAGAAGATGGGAAAATGCAAATTCAACAGTTAATGAGCAAGTCAAAAGAAGACAAATATATCGAGTGGCATAGGTCTCATGAAAGAATGAATGAAGTTAGAGATCTTTTCTTTGCACATGTGACATCCGTTGATTTCTTACATGCCTTTTCATGCGTGCTTATAATGGATCATACTTACAAAACCAACATGTATGGAATTTTTGGTGTGCTTGTGGATTTTGATCTGAATTATTAAAAAATAAAAAATTAAGTGACCAAATGATCCCTTTTCATTCTCATTTAATTTGAGCGTAATGTTTACTTTTATGACCTGGTGTTTTTATTTTTTTATTTTTAATTTTTTAATTTTTAATTTTTAATTTTTAATTTTATTT